GCCGCCGGGCAGATGAACGGGACCGTCGACCACGTCACCTCGGCTCCCGCCGAGAAGAAACCCATCGTCACCTACTGCCGGCTCCCTCTTCGCAAGACCTACCGCGAGAACGTGGACGCTTTCGTGGCCGAGAAGCCCGCCGACGCCTGCCCCAAGGGCAGCGCCCCGAAAGCCGACAAACTCCCCGGCGCCCTCGTCGTCAAGCAGGAGGACGGGTCCCGGAGCGTCATCACCTCCCACAAGAGCCAGGACAGCCCCTCGGCGGCGGCGGCTGCGGAGAAGAGCCGGCCGGAGGAGAGCTCCAAGCTCCTGTTCTTCAACAGGAGCGACGCCCGCTCCCTCGTCCTGCAGGACAGCCCGGCCCCGCCGAAGCCCGACGACTCCACCAGTGGCCTTATGAAGGAGCTTGCGGAAGTCGAGGACGAGTTTTACCGCGGGATGATCAAACCGGAGCCCCCCGACCAGGGCTCGGGCTCTGAACTCGCCTGGGAGGTGCCGCTGCCCCCGGCCAAGCGCAGGAAGTCGGAGTCCTTCGAGGTGGACAACGCCAGCTTCTCCAGCGACAGCCCCCAGGACGACTCCCTCAACGAGCACCTACAGAGCGCCATCGACAGCATCCTCAACCTGCAGCAACCTCAGACTGGGGGCCAGAACGTCCGGACGCCTTCCTCCTCCTACAACTCCTCCTCCTCGCCCTTCTCCTCGCCCGTCCACCGTACGGACGCCTACCTTGCCCCTAATCACAACGGCGGCCTTGGAGCAAGGACGTTGAACAGATAACAGAGAACCAAACGGAGCGGCAGCGGGACACTGAGCGAGGACCGGAGAGGAGGAGGAAGACGACGACGACGAAGACGACGACGCCCTTGCTGGTTGAATGCGGTTGAGCCCCGCGGCGGTGCCACCCTCCCAGAGACCCGACGGGCCGGGCCTGGGACGGGAGGAGCGGGGAACGGAGGGCGTCCCGGGGACGCTTCGCCCCGGTGTTTATAGAGATGGGGGTTTTTTTGGATGTTGTAAAGCGCGAGCGGAGGCTGGGTTTACGATCCGCACGACCTCGCGGCGAGCGCGACGCGAGCGAGCGCCCGGGGGCGGACTGGTGGGGCCCGTAGGTATTTGTCGGCTGTGTAATTTAGATTCTGTAACAAATTGCTAATATGAATATCCGATCGGTCTATTCTCTCTTTCCCCCCCCCCCCCCCCCCCCCCCCCTTTTCTCCCCCATCTATCCTCTGTAAACAACCAACAACCACATCTCTCATTATCAAAGATGAATATGAAGGCAAAGTCCTGACATAGTTTATATTATGAAATAAAAAGTGCCACAAATCCTGTCTTTCAAAAGTTAGGACGTGCCAGAGGATGCAGTTCAATAGCAGGCTCTTGGCTAGAGCTCGCCACACACACAGAGAGGAGCAGGGCGTACATTCTCCTGCCTCCAGAGCTGACCATGCTTTATTTCACTGAATGCCATTGCGGTGCTTTGTCATCTGCCGATGTACCTAGGGTGATTTCTGATGCTTACGCCACGTGCTTAGGCAGTGGGAATAATACCCTGCTCTTGAGAGCTGTGCAAGCAAGAGACTTGGGGCCGGTCTGGAATTAGATCTCCTGTATTTCTGCTTTCAGTTTTGACATCAGTTTGCTGGCTGGCACCAAACTAGTCAGTAAATTCAGAGGCAATACCAGGGACTGAAGCCCTAAAACTGATGATTTCCTACCAGCTGAGATTTTTATTTCAAGAAATGTTGCTTTGCTTGGATGGTATAATTTTTCCTGATTTTATAAAGTTTAAAAGAGGGCCAGTATCCTGACTGTAAATCTGTTGTCCCTGTTTGTAATTTCACTGGGCATTAAAACCCACCATGCCGGATTTTGGCCCTGAACGTGGGCATTTATTTTGCCATCAATGGTTATTGTTACTTTCTTCAATGTCATCATCATCAGGTTACAAAGAAAACACGTTACAAAACGTGCACAGCCCTCTGGTCTCCCTGAGCAGTCAGGAAGTGGGGAAAAGCTGCTGAAC